ACTTCTAACCAGTGAAGAAACAGGCATGTTCCTTCACTGGGAATACTTCCAGTGAATGAACAGTATTGTGTGAAATATGATTTTACATGACTCTAGGATAAGTACTTCTGCTATATAGAGGACAACCGAAATTTTGTTAAAAATTGTATGAATAATTCCTGAAATAATTTCAGTTCAAAATGTTAATTTAATTTCCTAATTTATGAAAAAATTATAATTTTTTTTTATTAATGGGGTGTTTAATTAAATCAAATGTTTGGCAACTTAATAAACTATGTTTAAATATCGAAAACTAATTAAATATAATCATAAAAATTTGAATAGAACTTTTTTTTGCTGGCTTTTGCACCAAGAACTGATACTAAGTTATCATTATAGGATAGCAACGTGATTATATAATTTATAAAAACTACTTTACTATGTTAGATTTTAGAAGCAAGCTCTTCAACAAAAAACAGAGTTAAACAGAAACGATACTCAATTTCTTCAGAAGCTTGAGAGGGAAATCCCTCAAGATATGTTGCAAATTTTTAACGCAGCATTGACTGAAAAGTCTAATATCGAAAATGTCCAAGAGCCTGTACTTTTTTCAATATGGAAAAAGTACATATTAAAAGAAGACCACTTGGTTAAGTCAAACTTAGGAACTGAAGCTAGTATTGATAATGAATGCATCTTAGATATCGAATTTGAAATGAGTCCTCATGCTGATCCTCTCTTAGTTGAAAAAAGAAATGATTCTATAAGTAATCTAAAGATCCTCTAGATACAAGTCAACAAGAGATGGATTTTCCTCAAACTTCAAGACACCTTTCCCCCGTCTATTTTCGAGAAAGGTATTGTAAAAATGTTGCTGAAAAATTAAAGAAGTTTGGAAGAACCATTTACATTGGCCAAATATTGAGGATAAAAAGAAAAGTCAAATAAGAAGAAAAATGAATAAATTACCTTTTGCACTAACTTCAGAGAAATGGCAAAAATTTCAAGAGGCTGAAAGATCTAAAAAAAGGTTAAAACAAAAGAACATGGAGAAGAAAAAGAAAGAAAAAATACTTAAAAACGAAAAAAAGCTTCAAGAAATAAGAGGAAAAAGAGTAAACAAAAAGGTGATAAAATAATAATAATAATAAACAGCATCGGATGACACAATGATTCAGATTTGGCTGGGTGGCGCAGTTGGTTTGTCGCCGGCCTTCTGAGCCCAAGTCTGCGGGTTAGATCCCCGGCTCAGACACCGGATTTTCGGGATGCAGAAAATCCTCAGCGGCCATGTCGTATGATTATGCGGCATGTAAAAGATCCCTGGAGTGCCTTATTGGCTCTTGGCATTTCCGGCAAAATTAAATTCCTAGTGCACTTTAGCATCCAAATAGAGTCTCGGTGCTGCCATCTAGTGTGGCAGAAACTAGACGTCCAAATTAACTTGACCAACGGTATCTCACCCATTGTGGTGGTCACTGAAAGTGTGGATACCACCTCTGGAGAACGCACTAGGTCTGCTCATCGGCAAGACCGATTGTGCAGCTCATTGGAAATAAAAAAAAAAA